TAGAGAACATGTTTATTTGACTTATTTGTCGAAGTGCTTAAACTGTCTTGTTTGTACTCCATGCAGTATGTTAGGCTAGGATTTTCTATTACTTGTTCTGAGTTTAGCATTATCCTTATGTTTGGGCTGTTATTGTGTGTTTTTAAATTGGGACTACGGGAAGGCATCCCGGGAGATCCCCCTGCACTTGATATGTTCTAGACTGAAGGTGTGGGATACCAAGAGATCCCTGGCACACGTTATTACAAGTTTTTTCGAGGATACCAAGAGATCCTCGGGATACCAAGAGATCCCTCATGTATATGATGAGGATACCAAGAGATCCTCGGGATACCAAGAGATCCCTCGTGTATATGATGATGATACCAAGAGATCCTCGGGATACCAAGAGATCCCCGGTTGTTGTTCCTGTTGTGAATAGTATTTACTGGTATTGTCCTGTTTCTGCTTTCTATTACGGTTTTCCTTACTTATCCTGTTTAGATTCTCGTTGTAGACTTTATTTATTCTGTTTTTCCTCATCTCATTATATATTATGTTATATCTCAGTAGAGCCATGACCTTTCCTCGTCACTACCCAACCGAGGTTAGGCTTGGCACTTACTGAGTACCGTTGTGGTGTACTCATGCCCTTCCTGCGCATGTTTTTCATGTGCAGATCCAGGTACCTCCACTCAGACGCACTATCCTTGAGGCAGGGAAAGCTACGGAGACTTCGAGGTACATCTGCAGCGTCTGCAGATCGAATAGTCTCCTTCTTACTCTATCTTGTAGCATTTAGACTTCTTTCGTACTTTGATATAGACTTTTTTTCTGGAGTTTAGAGCAGTGTATTACATTTCTATTAGCCTGTGTTTCCCGTGAGTTTTCGGGTTTTGGGGTGATATTGTATACTTCCGCGTTTGAGTTGTATATGCCAAGTGGCACTTGTATACAGTTTTCCTTCTATTTTTGCTTAGTTTAATTTATTGTTCCGCAAGTTATATTATTTCCGCATTTTAGGCTTACCTAGTCGTAAGGACTAGATACCATCACGACATGTTCACGGAGGACGAACTGGGGTCGTGACATCAGGCTTTGAGCCTATAGTACCTGTTAGCTCAACTTTCCTGAGGTGACTAAATGTGACATCTGAGAAAGCTTAAATTTCAAGAGATTTTTAATCTGGAGTACTATAAACTACATCATGAACCTAAGATTATCAAAGCCCCAACTCTCTAAACTTATGGAGGATAAGAACTACAAAAACAAGAAAGAGAAAGGAAAGAGGCAAATGACTAAGAACCTCGATTTCCAAATATTGTAAATATGGAAAGTTTCTTATCAAGCAAAGAGCACAGGAGACTATATCCGAATTGTTAAAATAAAAACGACCTAGGCAACGACTTTTGAAAGAGTTAAGATCAAAAGGAAGCCTTGTTGGCAATTCCTCTATGGGACCTATTCAAATAAAAAATTAATAAAAGAATGAGCAAAACAAAAGTTGGCAAGAAGTTGAAATGGACGATAACAAGACGGCAATTTGCAAATATGCAAATTGCAACGAATGAATTTGATTGGCTAAATTGGAATGCTCCTTTGCTTATAAATAGATTCATTCGGTTTCATTTCAAGTACACCAAAATCAGAGAGAGTGCAATAGAGCGTAAAGAGAGTAATCCACAGATTGTAGTCTGTGAGATAAATAGTGAGTATGAATAATATTGTAGTGAGATGTTTAAAATAAAGAGTGTTATTTCTTTCAAAGTTGTAGCATTCTCTTGACACTAGTAAGTTGTAATATTATAGTGGAAATATTGCTCCGCTCGGGTATTGTATTTTATCCTGTTAAAAGATTAGGTGTCGTTGTTACTCTCTTACGTTATTGTTATTTATCGTGGATATTATTCCTGGGCGGGATATTATTTTTTCACAACAACGTGGTATCAGAGCCCTGGCGAATAATGGTCTGTTGTCTTTTCAGTTACCCCATCTCACAAAAGATAATTATGAAAAATGGTGTGTACGTATGAAAGCCATTCTTGGCTCCCAGGATGTGTGGGAAATCATAGACAGGGGTATGCAAAACCCGATAATGAGGAAGCTCTGCCTCAAAATAAAAAAGATGTCTTGGCAAAGACAAGGAAGAAGGATCAACAAGCCCTCATGCTCATCCACCAATGTTTTGATGATGTCATGTTTGAGAAGGTGGCAGATGCTACCACCTCAAAGGAAGGTTGGGAGATTTTACAAAATTCTCTCCAAGGAGTTGACAAGGTGAGGAAGGTAAAACTTCAAACTCTAAGGGCTGATTTTAAAGTTTTAAAAATTAAAGAATCCGAATGCATTTTGGATTATTGTTCAAAAGTGATGGTTGTTAGAAATCAATTGAGAAGATACGGGAGGACATAGAAGTTGTTTGTGTGGTAGAAAAAATCCTTCGCAATTTAACACCTAAATTTGATTTTTGTGGTGTGTGCTATTAAGAATTCTAAAGATTTAGACTCTATGACGGTGGAGCAATTGGAGGGTTATTTACAAGCCCATGAAGAAAAGATCAAGAGAAGACAAGAAGTGCCACTGGAGCAACTTCTTAAAACTCAGGCATCCTTTAAGGACAATGGAAGTGAAAAGAGCTATCGAGGAAATGGACGAGGACGAGAACATGGTGGTCATGGAAGGGGAAGAGGTAATGGTAACAACTTCAACAATGAAGTTAAAATCCACTAGCATTCAAAGGTCATGATCGTGGACAAAGAGGAGGGAGAGGACGTGGCTACTACTAAGAAAATAATGGACAAAAGTATAATAAATTAAAAATTGAGTGTTATAATTGTCATAAATTTGGACATTACTCTTGGAAATGTCATAAAAATATTGAAGAAAAATCTAACTTTGTTGACGACAAGAAAGAAGAAGATGAGTCAACGTTATTGCTGGCACTCAAGGAAGAAGACAGGGATGATTGTAGCTCTTGGTATTTGGACAATGGAGCAAACAATCATATGTGTGGATGCAAAGAAAAGTTTGTGGAGATCAATAAAATGGTGAGAGGTAATGTGTCATTTGGAGATACCTCAAAGATTCAAATCGAAGGGATAGGTACGATTCTGATCTCCTGTAAAGATGGTAGTCACAAATTAATTCAAGATGTTTATTGTGTGCCAAAATTAAAAGGTAATATTTTGAGTTCGGGACAACTTCTTGAAAATGAATATGACATCCACATGAAAAATATGTATCTTTGGCTTAGAGATTCAAGTGGAATTCTAATTGCTAAAGTGCATATGGCAAAGAATAGATTATTTTCTCTGAATCTTAGAACAATTTATGCAAAGTGTTTGAAGGCTCATGGTGTTGGCACATGCGATTTGGGCACTTGAATTTTTAAGCACTCAAAACACTGGGAGAAAAGAATATGGTTCTTGGGATACCATCAATCAACCATCCCAATCAATTGTGTGAAGCTTGTCTTCTTGGAAAATATGCAAGGAGAAGTTTTCCAAAGGAGGCCATGTCAATATCGACGAAGCCGCTCCAGCTTGTTCACACTAATGTGTGTGGACCAATCAATCCACCTTCCATTGGTAAAATTTATTTGAACAACATGTCTGCAACAAGAAATGTTAGAGATCAAACCCCTCAAGAAGCATGGAGTGGAAGAAAACCAAGTGTCAAGCACTTAAGAATCTTTGGGAGCATAGACTATGCTCATGTGCCACATCAAGGGAGAGCGAAGCTTGACGATCGAAGTGTCAAGCATGTGCTTGTAGGCTATGATGCGAGTTCAAAAGGCTACAAGTTATAGAACCCAAGAAGCGGCAAGGTGGTGGTAAGTCGCGATGTTTAATTTGATGAAGAATTGGCATAGAACTGGGAAGCTCAGGAAGAAAATTCATATGATTTTCTTCCGTACTTTGGTGATGAAGAAGAACCAGAGACCGTGGAACCTGTGCAGGATACAACTCCACCTCCTTCTGCAACCAATGTTGCATCTCCCTCTTCTCAAGAAAATTCAAATGAACAGCTGCAAAGGACAATGAGTATTCAAGATCTCTATGAGGACACAGAAGAAGTTACTAATTTTGATTTCTTATGTTGTCTCTTTGCTGATAGTGAACCAATGAACTTTGATGAAACTTTTACAAACAAAAGGTGGAGACAAGCCATGGAGAAGGAGATTGAGTCAATAGAGAAGAGCAATACTTGGGAGTTAACAACTCTTTCCAAGGGTCATCGAGCAATTGGAGTTAAATGGGTATACAGGACAAGAAGAATGTTGATGGAGATGTGGAGATATACAAGGCACGACTTGTGGCTAAAGGATACAAGCAAAGGCAAGGCATTGACTATGAAGAAGTCTATGCATCTGTTGCCCGCATGGAGACAATTCATTTGCTGATCTCTTTGGCAGCGCAAATAAAGTGGAAGATCCATCAACTAGATGTCAAGTCAGCTTTCTTGAATGGCTATCTTGAAGAAGAAGTCTATGTTGAACAACCATTGGGCTTCGTGGTCAAAAACCATGAAGATAAAGTGTTGTGATTGAAGAAAGCTTTATATGGATTAAAGTAAGCCCCACGAGCATGGAATAGTTGCATCGACAAGTATTTTCAAGACAATGAGTTTACTCGTTGTCTCTATGAATATGCTCTTTACCTTAAAGTTCATACTAATGGAGATATCTTACTTGTTTGTCTCTATGTTGATGATCTTATTTTCACGGGTAATAACCTAAGTATGCTTGAAGCTTTTAAGAAAGATATGTCCCGTGAGTTTGAGATGACAGACGTAGGGCTCATGTCATACTATCTGGGCCTAGAAGTGAAGCAGATGGAGGATGGAATTTTTATCTCTCAAGAAATTAAAGCTATACAAAATAGATATTGAAGAAGTTCAACATGCTCGATTGCAACCCCATGAACACATCGATGGAGAGTGGGAAAAAATTGTCCAAGTTTGATGAAGGAGAAAAAGTGGATCCCACATTTTTCAAAAAGTCTTGTGGGAAGTTTGAGGTACTTGACTTGTACCAGGCCAAATATTTCTTTTCAGTTGGAGTAGTAAGTCGCTTCATGGAAGCTCCTACCTCCACTCATTTGAAAGTCCCTAGAAGAATTCTTCGTTACCTAAAAGGTACGATCGACTTTGGGTTATTTTATTCTTCTTCTCATGACTTCAACCTTATGAGATTTTGTGATAGTGATTATGCGGGAGATATTGATGATATAAAAAGCACAACTGGTTTTATATTTTTCTTGGGTGATTCTGTTATTTCTTGGAGTTCAAAGAAACAATTCATTGTTACTCTCTCGACTTGTGAAGCAGAATATATAGCAGCAACATCATGTACCTGTCATGCTATTTGGCTAATAAGATTATTGAAGGAGCTCAATTTGCCAAAAATTGAAGGAGCTCAATTTGCCACAAATTGAAGCTACAGAGATTTGTATTGACTACAAATTCTCAAAAGCACTCGCGAAGAATCCGGTGTATCATGATCGAAGCAAGCATATAGACACAAGGTATCACTTCATCAGAGAATGCATTGCTAAGAAGGAAGTCGAGCTCAAATATGTAAAGTCTCATGATCAAGTTGTAGATTTCTTCACAAAACCTCTCAGGTTTTAAGATTTTGAGAGATTGGGATCGTATCTTGGAATAAAGAGAAAAATTCAACATTAAGGAGAGATTTGTGGGACCTATTCAAATAAAAAACAAATAAAAGAAAAAGCAAAACAAAAGTTGGCAACAAGTTGCAATGCAACAAGTTGAAATGGGTGATAATAAGATGGCAATTTGCAAATATGCAAATTGCAACAAATGAATTTGATTGAATAAGTTGGACGGCTCCCTTGCTTATAAATAGAGTCATTCGGTTTCATTTTAAGTACACCAAAATCAGAGAGAGCGCATTAGAAAGTAAAGAGAGTAATCCATAGATTGTAGTCTATGAGATAAATAGTGAGTGTGAGGAATATTGTAGTGAGGTGCTTAAAATAAAGAGTATTATTTCTTTCAAATATGTGAAGTCTCATGATCAAGTTGTAGATTTGTTCAAAAAACCTCTCAGCTTTTAAGATTTTGAGAGATTGGGATCATATCTTGGAATAAAGAGAAAAATTCAAAATTAAGGGAGAGATTTGTGGGACCTATTCAAATAAAAAAAATAAAAGAAAAAGCAAAACAAAAGTTGGCAACAAGTTGAAATGGACGATAACAAGATGGCAATTTGCAAATATGCAAATTGCAACAAATGAATTTGATTGAATAAATTGGACGGCTCCTTTGCTTATAAATAGAGTCATTCGGTTCCATTTTAAGTACACCAAAATCAGAGAGAGCGCATTAGAAAGTAAAGAGAGTAATTCATAGATTGTAGTCTATGAGATAAATAGTGAGTGTGAGGAATATTGTAGTGAGGTATTTAAAATAAAGAGTGTTATTTCTTTCAAATATGTGAAGTCTCATGATCAAGTTGTAGATTTCTTCACAAAACCTCTTAGGTTTTAAGATTTTGAGAGATTGGGATTATATCTTGGAATAAAGAGAAAAATTCAAAATTAAGGGAGATATTTGTGGGACCTATTAAAATAAAAAATAAATAAAAGAAAAAGCAAAACAAAAGTTGGCAACAAGTTGCAATGCAACAAGTTGAAATGGACGATAACAAGATGGCAATTTGCAAATATGCAAATTGCAACAAATGAATTTGATTGAATAAATTGGACGGCTCCTTTGCTTATAAATAGAGTCATTCGGTTCCATTTTAAGTACACCAAAATCAGAGAGAGCGCATTAGAAAGTAAAGAGAGTAATTCATAGATTGTAGTCTATGAGATAAATAGTGAGTGTGAGGAATATTGTAGTGAGGTATTTAAAATAAAGAGTGTTATTTCTTTCAAATATGTGAAGTCTCATGATCAAGTTGCAGATTTCTTCACAAAACCTCTCAAGTTTTAAGATTTTGAGAGATTGGGACCATATCTTGGAATAAAGAGAAAAATTCAAAATTAAGGGAGAGATTTGTGGGACCTATTCAAATAAAAAACAAATAAAAGAAAAGCAAAACAAAAGTTGGCAACAAGTTGAAATGGACGATAACAAGATGGCAATTTGCAAATATGCAAATTGCAACAAATGAATTTGATTGAATAAATTGGACGGCTCCTTTGCTTATAAATAGAGTCATTCGGTTTCATTTTAAGTACATCAAAATCAGAGAAAGCGCATTAGAAAGTAAAGAGAGTAATCCATAGATTGTAGTCTATGAGATAAATAGTGAGTGTGAGGATTATTATGGTGAGGTGTTTAAAATAAAGAGTGTTATTTCTTTCAAAGTTGTAGTAGTCTCTCGACGCTACTAAATTGTAATATTATATTGGAAATATTGCTCCCCTCTGTTATTGTATTTTACCCCGTTAAAAGATTTGGTGTCGTTGTTACTCTCTTTGTGTTATTGTTATTTATCGTGGATATTATTCTTGGGGGGATATTATTTTTTCCCAACATCCTCGCCTGCTGCAGCCAAGAACTAGGAAGAAAATACAGAATGAATAAAGGCCTAAAAGAGATTATATCTATGAAAATGCATAACAATTAGGCAAAATACATAGATTGCCACCTGAACTATGGACCAAATCTCTATTACACAATTTATGACAAGAAAAATTATTTTGCGCACTCAACCTTTCAAAAGTGGGCCTATGACACACTACTTTTGTAGTTGACCAGTCTCATAAAACATCTCCAACTCTCGCACCAATAAGGTTGCGACACGTGTCCTTAACATAAAAAATTTAATACTTAGAATTGCAAATCTACCCTCGTCTTCATGTAACTTTTTTTTAGGATTTACCTCCCTTTTAGTTACTTTTTTTTTAATTCAAAGCCACCCATAATCAATTTCAATTTTCAATTCATTCCAAACATCAAATTCAGCTTTGTGCAAGTGTTTCCATCAAGGACCTATAGCACCCACTTGAATTTGAACATGAAATTTCATATTCAAATGTAATTTTTCGACTTCAATCTTTGAAGTTTTGCCGGCAATAGTTGTTTGAACAATACTCCACCCAAATCTTTCCCAAATAGTGATTGCAATTCAATTTTCGATCCTTACGACTCCACACTTTTTAAAAAGAAATATTGATTTAAAAAATATTGATTTTAATGTAATAAACTTGAGATTTGGGTTTTATTATTCGAGCCACAAATAAACTTCGATTTCTAACTCGAATTTGTAGTTGGCATCATTGGGTAACAATTGTTTGGGTTGAATTTCGAAATCAACTGCTTATTTCAAAGACTCTGGTGAACAGAATGTAAAAATAGTTACTGGATTCTGGGTTGATGCGAATTTAAGATCTAACACTTTAAGTGGATTGTTTACTACTTGGAATTGATTAAGAACTAATTCCTTGAGCTTAAAAACATTTGAATGGACGGATTGAAGGAGGCATTCTGAACTTCCATTGTTGAGTTCTTATGAGTACAAAACCCAGTTAAAGTTTTAAGTTTTTTATTTTTATTTTAAAATTTTAAGTAATTTTTTGAGTTCATTCGCCCTTTTTCTGTGTATAACACGCGAGTGCAAACTAAACAAAGTGGTGTGCCATAGATACACTTTTGAAGGGTTGAGTGTGCAATATAATTTTGGTCGTTAGAAAGTATGTAACAGAGATTTGGCCTATAGTTCAAGTGGTAACTTATGTATTTTACCTAACAATTAAGTGTTGAAGCGTTCATTTTCTGACAGATATTACAAGGATGGAGAGTAGTCCTCAATAACATATAATTATATGTAATAGTTCAAATATGACAAAAAGTTTCTATATTTGCTTTTCTTTAAATCTTAATTTAAGGGTGGATGGACTGAGGAAGGCAAAATAGGGTAACGTTTTCGACAAAATTGAAATCATAAATTCAAGTGATAAGGAGGATTTACAACTATAAAGTTACAACTCTAATTCATCAAACTGACAAAATTGCAAAACGGCTGTAAATGAATAAAAGAAATAACAACGAAGAAAGAATACAGACTAACACATTGATTAATGTATCAAATCAATCGCAAACAAACATTTGTTAGTATAAAAGCACAAATCTTGATCACCAGCTTTATAACATGCACAACTAGTAATTTTGTTTGCAAAACAGTTGTGATGCATCTGCCAATTCAATATTCAGTATAAATATGAAATCAATCCACTTGACCAGAAACGCCACTGGAATCAGTCTAAGTACTTAATTTTTGCTTTTGGTGATGCCCGAGAATAGCTAATCAGTTCCTTCAAATGTTCACTACTGCTTCTGGCATTTTTGTTCTCCATCTGTTCAATGATCATCCTTTCGAGTTTCAGAGAACAAGCAAGGATTAGTTGTATCAACCACATTTCGGTATTTGTCCCCTTGAATTTACTTAACCTCACTGTTCGAATCACGCTCATAGCTTCACGTACTTGGTATAGTACCTCCGACAAATAAGAAAAAAAATCCGATGTCTGATTCCGATCACCTGTCACATTTTGAATCATATAGTACCGAGTCAGTCAAGGTTGTTCAAGATCTAATATGTGTATAAAAACAATATTTGAACTATTACACAAGTATAATTTTCCAGCCAAGGGTCCACTCTTGACTCTATCACCTATGTGGCTCCACCACTCAACTTACTAGTCACGAAATGTCTTACCTTCACAACTTCATCTATGTCAAGTTCATAAAGGTTGGGAGAACTCCGCAGTAGGCAAAGTGCGCTAGAAATACGTTTAATGGATATTCTTCAAGTCATAAATTTATACTCCATATCGAAAGTTATGGGTTCATTTAACCGCTGGCCTAAAAGCTACATCCGCTCCTGTTGTTCACGATCTAACTATATGTACAAAAAGTAATATTTGACATATTATACAGTATAATTTTCCGACAAAGGGTGTTAAACTGATCACTATATGTATTAGTCACAATATGTCTTACCTCCACAACTTCATCTACGTCAAGATCACGAAGGTCAGGAGAGCTCCGCACTAGGCAAAGTGCGCTAGAAATATGTTTAACAGAAATCTTCAAGTGATAAAAATTTTCAGGCTTTGGAGTTTTAGTGATACATCAAGCCTATCTAGCACAGGAAACGACCCTAAGTTCTGAAAAAAGCCACACAAAAAAAAATATTATGAGTTGAGTCACATAATTCATATAGCGACAAAACTGCAAATCAAAAAACAAGTAAAATCATTTTCTAACCTTTAGGGATGATCCATCCAAGCAGAGGTGCTTAATCCTTCGAAAGATTGGGTTCACATTAAAACATTCAAATGTTACTGTATAGCTGCTAATGATAGACAAGTTCACAAGATTCGGAGAAACTATATCAACACAATCAACATCAACACAAAATCTCAACTCCAAAGTCTCAAGCATTGGCAGGATAAGATAGTTTTCGTCGGATCCTGCATGACCGTCAAGTTCTGAATGTTCCAACTGAAGACTAACAAGATTAGGAAATTGGCTATCTTCAGGTAGCTCAAAGAAACACCACGAGAGCTTCAAATGTGTCAACGTTGCACAAGTGAATAAGCCGTAAGGCAATGCATATTTCTCATCATTGGCCATATCTAGAGTCAACTTCTGGATACCATGATTCGAGACAAAGATGATGCACTGATTCACATCTGACTGTGACAAAGTGTCTGTCTTTGAGATTAGATGGAACCCCAAAACAGGTCCAATATGTTGCACGAGAATCTTATGAATTATACTTGCAGCAGAAGCGTCCTTAGTAGATACATACTGAAAAAAGTGGCGATCAAACACAAGGTGTGGCTGTGTAGACCATAACTTTCTCCATCGCTTTGATAAGATGCTAGTTTTTGCAGCATCTTGGATGGGTATAAGCTCAAGTATTTTGTGTAGTATGTTAGTTGGTAAGTCACTAATAACTGTATATTTCTTTACATTACTAGCTACATTGCATTGACTCATACTTCTTCTCTGAAATATACTATTTGATTGAACATGAATTGAGGATCTATAAATAGTTGCTCTATTAAAAGCAGAGCAATTAATAGATATTAATGCAGATCTTAATTCAGCAGAAGCCAATAGGAATTTTTCTTGGGTAACTCAAAGGACTTTTTCTTGAACTTCCCAAGTCTGTTCATTCCCATTGAATTAATTTAAACAATCAAAGCTGGAATTAATACTTGAAACATTTGCAAATAAATTAGGGTAAGAATGGAATCTGGACATTCATTATAAATTGATGCAGATCCACTTTCCTATAATAAAACTGATAAGGAGAAGAGGGAGCAGATTGGTCGTAGGTTCGGTCGGCTGTTAACTGATTGGTCGTAGGTTCAGTGGTAGAGCGGTCGGCTGTTAACCGATTGGTCGTAGGTTCAGTCGTAGGTTCGGTCGGCTGTTAACTGATTGGTCGTAGGTTCAGTGGTAGAGCGGTCGGCTGTTAACCGATTGGTCGTAGGTTCGAATCCTACTTGGGGAGATTTTTTAGTTATCGCTTTTCTGACCTAGCGACCCCTGCCCTTCTCCTTTGTTTCTAAACTAGCAGAATCGTGGGACATCAAAAGCGGTAAGTTGATTGTTGGTTTTTATTCCTCACTCTCGTATAGGTTAACTTGGTTCGTTCCATTCTTAGGGATAAGAAGGATCCACTGGAAAGACTGGAGTAGTATCTTCATTAGCCGGAAGGAATTAGTCTCCACTAGCGTCATTCGAAGAACGAACAAGAAAAGGGTTACTGTTTAGGATAGATGGATGTGGCCCAATGGCTAAAGCTCTGCCAGCTTCTTGTAGACTGAACTCTCTTCTCTTTAGGCTCCGAGTTCTTTTTTGGGGGGATGGTCTAATTTACTAGTGGCAACGAAGTTCTTGGTAATTAGCAAGGGGGAAGGAGGATCTCCACTCATTTCATTCATTCAGTGCCTGCGGTGAGGCGCGACCCACAACAAACGAAGGGGGAAAGCTTGCTTTGCTTGCTGTAGCCCTATTTTAGTAGATTAGGCTTGGTAAGCGTAAGCTATATTTAAGTAGGCTCGCAGCTTCGCTCAGCAGAAGAGCCTGACTTTTTATTATATTAGTAAAGCGCTAGCGCCCAACCTATACAAGGGCTTTGAAGGGATAGGGGAAGAAAAGAAAACAAAGAGGGTCATTTTCTTTTAGGAACATGGCTCCTTCATTCACTTGCTCATGAACTCGCAGCTTCGCCAGAAGCGACGAGGGGGGGCTGGGGAAGGCCGACGACTACATGAGGGGGAAGCTTTCGTAGAAGCTTTACCCCTTGCTTTACAGAGATAGTTATGAACTGACTAAATGACTAGATTCTCCCGGAACGCTAGCTAAGCTAATCGTCTTAGTTCCCTTCAATTAAATCAATAAGCTTTTTGATTGATTCAGGGCGTCGCGGGAAATCTATAGATCGTAGTAGTTCGCCAACCTCTCTAACTAACATACGATACAATTTCACTTCACGGCACGGCCAAAAAAAAGAAAGAGCTTCGCTCGGTTGGCCTTCCTACGCTGACGAATGCCTCTTTTCTCTTCTCTGAAGTCTACAACAAACAAGTGGGAGAGGCAGGATTCGAACCTACGTAGAAAAACTTCAACAGATTTACAGTCTGCCGCTTTTGACCACTCGGCCACTCTCCCCTTCCCGGGCCGAGGCCCCCCTCAATGGGTTCTAACGAGAATAGAAGCGAGTCGCTTCCGGCCTGTCTTGTAGTCGTAGTCTTTTAGCTTATGTAGTCGTCGGCCTTCCTACACGCATGCGTCCGCCAGAATGCCTCCTTGGTTCGGGACGAAGCCAAGCCGATACATACGATAGGCGAAGGAAAGACCCCCATTTCATAGCGCCTGGGGAACGCAAGTTTGATCGAGGATTGGAGAGGAGAGGTGGAAGAAAGGGCTCGGGATGGATTTAGGAGTCTTTGTGCGAGCCGTATGCGGTGAGAGTCGCACGTACGGTAACGAGGGGGGTTCGCGTCTATACGTGTAGTGTGGTGCTTAGGCCTACCCACCCTATTTGTTCCATGATCTATGGGTCTACTGGAGCTACCCACTTCGATCAATTAGCCAAGATTTTGACCGGATACGAAATCACTGGTGCTCGATCTAGTGGTATTTTTATGGGGATTCTATTTATCGCTGTAGGATCCCTATTCAAGATCACTGCAGTTCCTTTTCGGGCGGCTGTAGGACGGCCCCCTATAGGTGGTAGGGTAGGGTGGGTGGTACCGCTCAGATTGCGGCCAATCTTCGTAACCTTTTCGTTTGACGAGGGAAGATCTTAAGTACTGAATTAATTAAATTACACCTATATCGCGAAAAAGAGCTGCTCTAGCTTTAGCGCGCACCCTTTCTCCTATGAGGAAAGTGACTCTTTCCGATTCATGTCTGGCCCTTCCTGGATCTGGATCACAGTATACCGGCGACTTTGTCCTTGAATTCATTCTATTTCATATCCACCGATCCGTGGAAGAGACCAAGGAAGAGTAAGATAGATTTAGGGCCGGCAGGCGGGTCTAGAATAGATTCCCTAACGGGTCCTGACTTTTCAACAACAGAGGCGAAAACTTACTCTTTCAAGTCAAAGTCAAAGTCGGGTAGACTAAGATAGAGTTTATTTTACAGTTGTTCCAGGGGTATGGGTATAGAGTGAATTCTATTCACTCTTTATGAAGTTCCGTGCACTCCTTATATCATAAAGAAAAAAGTAAGTATGGTGCCCCGGTAGACGCGCAGACCGAGTGAGTTTCCGCCGATCCCGATCCAGATGTGCCAAAGATTGAGGACTATGAGGGTACGGTGCTATCCTTGTACTTTGTTTGTTGCACATGGCCTAATGTACACTTGCCCCCTTTTTCTCACTCTTTTGGTGGTTTGTCAATTTGAATCTATTTTCTTTATGCTACCGAAAGACGGAAAGGGGAACCGACTCGTTCCTTCCTTGCGGAGGACGAATCAAGGCCTGAAGTTGGTTCGTCGAGCAAGAGGAGAGAAGGATCAACAAGGATTTCATACCCTATGCTAGTTCTTTTTCTCTCTCCCCCAGATATGCCTTTAATAAGTCCTCCACCTATTCTCGTGTGACGACATCTATGATTGTGAAATTCAGGAATGAACAGTTGCAACAATCATGTTCAATTTCTTTTGACAGTTTTAGATTGTGGTGCTTTGTAATCAAGGGCGAGAAGGAAGTTCATGGAAAGGTAGCTCACATACCTTTCCAGGCCTAATTCTTTAATAATCACTTCAGCTCTTTCATACTTCTGACGTCGACTCATCTTGCTTGGAAGTCTTAAGAATGCAGCAAAAACTAAGGTTTCCTCTACAGTCAATTGTGGAAAAAGCACATCATCTTGTGTCACGAAACCCACCTAGCACAACATTGCTCAATTCGGTATGGAAGTTAATACAAAATCATGTACATTGAAAGAAAGACTTTTATATATTCTTGGTTTTAAGGCAATAGAAAGAGAGAAGGAAAAAAGAATTATTGATGGATAGGTAATATACCTCCTATTGATAGCTGTATTATATGGGATGTCATTGTATGTGACAGTTCCTCTGACATTTTCTTGCAATCTTCCTCCCAATATCTTTAACAAGGTTGTTTTCCCACTGCCAGAAGGCCCCATTAAGGCAAGAATTTCACCCTTCCTGTTATACCCTTGAGTATCTGCTTGTAATTGTCATGCTCAAACTGGGAAGCTACCTTTGATACAACTGCCTTGACAGGATTGTTGGAGGAAGCTTGGCTAATCTTCACCTTGTACTCAACATCCGCGAACTGCATTCAAAGACCATTTAAATGGCAGAAGCCAAAACTCTGAAACATATATCAACAATTTGATTCTTTGAAACACTTCTGAGAAATGAAAGATTGGTTAGAGAAAAAAAAAGTACCTTGAGAAATATGGGGAGGGGTTGATCTTTATCAGCAATTGATGTATCATCCTCTACCTCTATATCAATTTCAGAGCTTCTGTTTCTGAGGTAAGCTTGAGACATGAACTCTATGTTATGGCCAAAGCCATTGCTTCCAGCAATCTGCATGGAGCCAACAGCTGGAGGGGACAATGAAAAATCCTCAATTTCATCTTGTCTAAGATGCTCCATTGTGTCATGAACTGCAAGTTAAGCGTTGCTCTATCCTGTTTAATGGTGTTGGACAAAGTTCATTGTTATATATGGTGGATAAGATAGACATAACCAAAACTCTGCCTAAATCTTGAAACTGTTGAGCCACATGCTTTCTATGGGAAACTATAGACTCTTTCTAATTGTGAATTTCTAGTTATCACACGCACTTGGTGCGCTTGACTTTCTTCAAAATTCTTTTTTAACCAAGTGTTCAAATGACACTGTTTGGGGTATTCTAACTCAGCAACGACGTACTAGCTGTTAATACATAATTAACTAAATCAAAGTGTTCCCTCTCTGATATCTAAGTTTTTTAGATGAGACGGTTCACACAATTCACCATAGTAGAGCAGGCAGAGGTCCAGGATTCGAGTCTTGCCGCCACTTATTAACAGTGGAGGTAGGAGATCCAGTTAACGAAAAGGCTAGGNAAAGAAAGCCGATTGATACCTTAGCTTTGAACCAGCTTCTTCAATCCTGCTGCTCTTCTCCCTCTATATAGCGCGGGTAGCTTGCTTCCAAGCCACTGGCCGGAACCAGATAAGGAACAAGAGAGAGAAGCAGCTCAATTTCAAAGGTTAGGCGCGATAGCCACTCGTGCAGAAGGAGATGTTTGGGAGAAAAGCCCCGTCTCATGGTGCTTTTGTTAGGAGTTCCCCCTCTCCGGTATATTTTACTGTGGCAACCCTGATGGAAAAGATTGTTGGCCCCCTCTCTGCTGGTTCTCTCAGACTAGCATCAACTGATGTTAAGGTTAACCCAATAGTCAGGTTTCATTACTTCCGAAATCCTGGTGATGGATGTGGAGAGGTGTGTGAACAGAAAGATTCATGATGTACAACAAAGCCGCTCCATGTAGGAATTCAAGTACCAACAAGAGTTTGGTCCTATATATTTCGGGTATGTTGGACCTTCATTGCCTGCTGATCTATCCAATGATTTTCTGATGGGATAGTTCTGTCGTTGTGACCACAATATCGCATTACCATGGCGGCTGCCTTGTTGGGAAAGTGGTTGATAGGAACTTAAGACTGGGGCACTCAGAGTTGTTGATGGTTCAACCTTTACTGTGTCACCGGGCACCAATCCGCAGGCTACTCTGTTGATGCTTGGCCGCTAAGTGCTTAAATATGCGTTGGATATTGCACAGAAGTGCGATTGCGACTAATCGGGAGCTTGCGTATGTAAACGAAAGAGTAGACATCCCCCTTGATAACTGAATGCAAGCGAGGCTGGACCTAGATTCGCGTATGTAAGTGAAAACGAAAAGAAAGGAGTTCCCCTTCCCCTTCTCCTTTCTTGTCTAGAAAGGGGAAGAGGAGCTCAAACAAGGTTCAAAGATCCCCTCCCCAAAGTATGGTTTAAAGAAAGCCTTTCGGGTTAGTGAGGAACATGATAGTGAAAGAGAGAAGAAAGGAAATCAGTTTATGGCGGCTTACCTTCGTACATTCAAGAACAGTTGTGACTCCTTGGCATCTATCAATGCACCGGTGTCCCAATCTGATATGTTTACATTCCTTCTTGCTGGCCTGCCTTCGGACTATGAAAGCTTTGTCACTACGGCGAAGCTTCAACGACCAAAACCAACTATGGCTGAGCTTCGGTCTAGCTTGTTGTTACATGAGTCTTGCCTTCAGCAGATGCATCCTATTACTATATTGATGATCTTGTATACTAACCGAGTCCGCACTCGCCCGAGAACACGTACGTCCTCCCTGTAATTATCTTGTCTTTGTTATGGTTTCAGGGCCTACGTCTACCCGTATGGAGCCACCATCATTCGCAAGGCTTGCTTTACATTGGACCCGATGTTGAGCCTCTCATAGCCTAGTACCGGTGAACTAGGCAAGCGACCCTGCAAGGCAGCCAGCCTTTCTGCAAAATCAATGTCCGCCTCGCCGCTGCTTTCGGGTGATTGGAGAATAGCTGTAAGGAATACTAAACGAAAGTATGCAGCGAGGCAAAGCCGATTGAGAATATGACGGTTAGCCCCTCGGCGCTTGGGAGGCATCCTATTTAATAAAGATTCTTCCTCTAGTCGAATAGAGTATTAGTCCGCTCCATTATATTCCCCATTATTTCACTTTCTCGCTATTCGAAATATCATAAGAGAAGAAAGCTGGCAGGTTGGATCCTAGGGTAGATTCCTGCTGTTGAATGATCGACTAGCTTCCTCTTTAGTTCTTTGAATCAAACGTTGAATGAAATCGATTCTTTTTTAGATATCAAAATCTAAATCGGATAGGATAGATGGATGGATCTATCTTTCTATTCATATATATTACTAATCAAAATGGATTTTTATAGTGTTGTAGCGTAGCAAGAAGCCCCAAATCCTTGATTTGGCCAGGAAAGACTGCACTGCTTTGGGCCCAGGAAGCGAAGGGAATGAGCTCGGCTGCTTTTCCTCCACACTTCTTTTTCTCCGTGCCCGTTCCGCATGCGCTTCGCGCGCCATTGGCGCTTTGCTCTCCTCTTATTCTTCATTGGACGGTTCGGATGGACTTCGCCGTTCTTTCCCAACTAAAATCGAAAGGGCTGTATCACATCGAGATGTCGATTCGTTTTCCGCCCCCAATGAGATGGGGAATTTGTAACCCCCTATTTAGACTTTTGGACCCTTCATCTTTCTGAATCGAGACCCGGCCCGGCTCGCGTCGTTCCAACAACCGGCGGGGAGCACCTCAGTATACGATCGCGCGCAGTAACTGGGAGTCCTATTACACCTAAGGCCAACTTCAATTCACCAAACCAAGGTTCATCTCGTGTAGTCATTGTGGACTCGTACAAGGATATTGAGTAGACGGTTGATGTATCAGACTCGACCCTATCTTTCGTAGCATGCATTCCCATCCGTGTCGCAACTGATTCGGTAAGCTACGTGTCTAGTGCACGGAGAACTGCCTTCGGTCCCCCAAACTTACTTACTCGTGGCGACCTTCCGGCCGCCCAGCGACCTATAACGCTAGTCACTACTCCCACTGGGGCTAGGAAGTAAGCCCCACAACCCAAAGCGGCGAAGAACAAATAGAATTTGCTACAAAAGCCGGCTAACGGGGGTATTCCTGCGTATGAGAACATAGTAATGGAGAAGGTAATAGCCAAAATAGGATTCGTTTTGGCTAGAGCGCCCAAATCAGCTATATATTTGACACGGGTTTGCCGTAATGCTAAAACTATGGCGAATGCATCTATCGTCATTGATGCATAAATAAAGATACCAATTAGTAGTGATTGAATTCCTTCTATGGTTCCACATGAGAAACCAGTACGAATATAACCTACATGTCCAATTGAACTATGAGCTAGAAGTCTTTTTACTTTCGTTTGGGCCATGGCGGCCAGTGCTCCTAAGATCATAGAAGCAATGTTGCAGAAAAAGAAGATTTGTTGCAATGTAGCTCCATAAGAACCATAAATAGAAACACGTGAAATATTAGCAGAAATAGAGCTTTTAGGCGCAATAGAAAGGAATGCTGTAACCAGGGTGGGTGAACCCTCATAGATATCAGGTGCCCACATATATAGAGTCAAAAGATATATGGAGTCCGAAGGGTAGGGGGTTTTCTTCGGGGCTCGAGAGATGGAATAGATAGGGCCCCACAAGTTTTGAATTCGCCGCTGGGGAATTCACACGAAAGGGAACGAGGAATTCTCAACGAAAAAAGTGCTCTCTGAACCGAACGTGAAAGTAGTTTTCCATCAGACGGCTTTTCCTGTAACTCTACTCTCGACTTGGATTATATATCCAAAAAGGTCCGCTCTCGGCCATTCCACACGCTGCCTAGCAGAGACGTGGTTATCTGAAGTGGATTCTCTCTTTTGTAGTAGATGCCGAACCTGCTGTGCCCCATTGACTAAGAAGGGGGCGGACACAGCAGCTACATGGACCCCTTCCTTTCTGTTGTTGCCAGCGCTTTCCCGGGCCGAGCCGGAATTTTTTATTATAAAGGGCAGGCAAAGCCCGAAGGCAGCTATCCCAATAGGAAGGGCGGAACGAGGAGAGGGCCCGGCAATCATACCACGGCGGTCAAAAAAGCGTGTTCCCTTCAGATAAGACGCACCGTAGGCCATCCTCGGCCTTCTTCGTTTTCGATGAAAAAAAAATCTCGATCTCCGAAAGCGTTTTCCTTCCCCCGCCGCACCTCCCTCCCTTCGTCGAGCCTTTCCTTTAATGGTTGGGGAAAGCATTCCCTTATCTGAACTTGGTGGGCATTCTTTCCAGCCTTAGTAAAATAGGGGGTGGGTTTGGCTTGAACATAGGCTCAAACAGAATTTGAAGGGTCCTAGCTACGCCATGCGTTCAATACAAAATCTGGAAAGCTGCAGGGATGACAAAAAGAGGGCGCTTTCCTGTGTTGCACTGAAAAAAAGGACCTAAGAGACGAGCGTCTTCTCTTAGGTTTCTTCCTCCCGCGCCCGTCGCCGCCCGGCCCGCGTTAGAGGGGAAGATTAGCAAAGCGGGAAAAGAAAGAGGGAAGGGGAGCAGCATCTTATTCTCTTCGCGAGAACTTCCGGATCGTAGAAGCATTCGGAACGGGCTCCGCGTTCATTTCGTTGGCAGAAACGATCCATTCCATTCGGGGCTTCGGGGAACCCAAAAACGAAGTCTTTTGACTTGAGAATCAATGATAGATAGACAAGAGATAGATAAACAATATATATATATTTCTCACAAAAAAATTGTGAGATAAAGAGCAAATGGATCCTATCCCCTATATCGAACACTGACAGAAAGATCTTCGTCAAATACCGGACTTTGCCTTTTTTTTAGGAATTACTCATATCCAAAGCAGCTTTTCACAAGCACCCCACCCCATACAACTAGTTGGGGGGGCTGTTCGCCTTTTGAATCAAACAAAGTAAGTAGTAGGGGCTTCATAGCAACTTTCATTCTAAAGGAAAGCGAAGAACCAACCTTTAGTCAATAGGAGCCCTACTTCCCTCTTTCCGACCTCATCACTTCAATTCAAGGGCAAACCCATTTCCTAGTCACCGGGCTGAGCGCACCTTTGGTACTTCAATAGGGCGAGCTGTTTGATAGTGACTTCTTTCGTTTGGTAGGGCGACGAAAGGCTACTTCAATGACGGAAACAGCCGGAAACTCGAGAGGGTCGCCTTTGGAGAAGCGTTTGCCGGTAACCAAAGCCTCACTCTGATTATGTCGTGAGGCTGACTGAATCCAATCCATAAACCCGGAAATGAAAGGTTGTTCGTTCCCTTTCGTCAAGTAGGCATACGAACCACTTTGCCTTAGACTCTATTGGAACAAAGCAAAGAAGGAGGCGGAATGGAGAAAGGAAAGGGACAAGGGCGGTCTTGCTTGGCGCGAAGGCTGCTGGTTCGGGGGTAGAGTACAGTACTAAAGGTCCTCGGACTTCCAGGCGGCTTTTCTTTTGGGCAGCTGTTATGTTTTACCTGTACCGCTCTTCATCTATGTCAAGCTCAGAAAGGTTAGGAGAATTCTATAGAAATTTGCTCAGCGGGGACAAAAATTCAAGACCATCCACTATTTGCGGATTATTTTGTATACCCCGTAAAATGCTATGCTAGATCATCTAATTTTCAAGCATTATTTCATCACTTTGAGATTATGATTGTTTTTAAGATGAAAGAAATTTAACTTACACTTCGTGAAATGCCTATTGACCTTAATATTGTCTAACTACAATGCATTAATGGATTACTCTCTAAATTGAATGCTTTGACATGCAGCCTAATTAATCCAAAGCCATTAAATCAAAATAAACAGTAATAACAGCAAGTCAAAGTTGAATTATCAATTTACTGGAACACATTATGTCATGAAAGAGAAAATAAACTAAATAAGGAGAACTAGATTGAATAACGAACATATCAAATATCAAGGTTAATAATAACAACAACAAAAAAAATCCATTTTAGTGCTGCTAGAGTTAGGGGACAATTTAGGTTAACACACAGCAACCACAACATAACACAGAAATAAACAGTCACATATCAGCTATGTTGTGCGGACTTTCCAAAAATATTGTCGCACCAGTGTCTGATCCACCAAAAATGCACTATTTTTAGAGGATCCGACACACGCCCGTCGACATTTTAGGAGAGTCCGAACAACATAGCATATTGGTACATGTCATAAGCCTCATTACAGGAGATAGTCCAAATGGTGATCATACTCAACGTTGTAGACAACTTTTGCATTAGGTGATGCACGTGGAAATTCTGCTAGCACAACGTCCAATCCGTATGTTTTGCCAAGAGACTGAATTAGTTGCTCGGCAGTATCATCATTTATCCAGGTCTCTATCAGCATTTTCACCAGCACGGGTGACTTGGCTAACAGAAGCTTAACAAGCTGAATCCCCGGCTCTATGGCCAGATCACCTATTAGCTTAACTTCCCTGAGGCGACTAAATGTCACATCTGAGAAACCTTCCACTTCAAGACATTCCAAAGCGGGAATATAATCCTCACAACAATCACCAACCTATGAAAGATTACCAAAAATCCGTTTCTCAGAAATTATAGACGACAAAAAGTCCGCCTCTCAGAAATTATAGACGACAAAAAGTATGAAAAAAATATAGCCACTACATAAGAAAGAGAAAGAAAAGAGTCAAACGATTAAGAACCTCAATTTCCATATATTGTAAATATGGGAAACTTCTGATCAGGCAAAGAGCACATGAAACCACATCCAACGCATCAAGAAAAATATCAGAAAGGTGAAGACTTTCGACAGAGATGAGATCAAAAGTAAGCCTTGTTGGTACTCCACCTGGTCCTGCAGCAAATAACTATGAAGAAAATGCAAAAAATCAGGATGACTGAAAGCCTTAAAAATGTTAAGCATATGAAAAATGCATTACAATGTAGTGGTGAAGCACATTTACCTTGAGACTACCATCATCCAATTTAAGATGCTGGACAACAGAAAAAGACTTGAAAAACTTAGTAATATCAGTGTCCTTCCTCCACAGGAAAACGATTATGCATAAGAGAAACTTTTTCCAGAAGAGGGATATGCTTTAACCAGATACATCTTATACTGCCTGTGAATTCAAAGGATTTCAGCATTGGAGCATTAATTTCGATAACATCTGAAATTTCTGGGATTTGCAGCACCAATTGCTCAAGCAATGAACAATTAGAGATTAAACTTTCAAGCAACTTGAAAGAAATTGCAACGCAGTTTAATTCAAGGCTAATTAACCTATGAAATCCTTTGAAGGCCGGTGGAAGAAGCTCTATTAAGCAATTTTGAAGAGTCAGATGCCTCAACTGCAAACATGAGAAAAATGAAGAAGGCAATTTGTATGGTTCAATACCCCATGGAAGTCTAAGAACAAGATGTTGAATGCCATTCCTAGAAAGGAAATATATCAAGTTGTCAAATGTAGGACAGGGTATTAGATAAGGATCAAAGTTGAGGGTGAACTTAGTAATTGGTCCTGAATGAAGGGTCAAAAGGTGGTTGACAATGTTTGTAAATGTAGTTGCAAGAAGTATTGGCTTCTCCGAAGTTCTATAAGCTTGTTCATTAAGGGTTAACTCTGGAAGTTTGCACCAGTTATATCTCCATTTCTTCGATAAGATGCTTGTCCTCACAGCATCTTGTAAAGGTAAACGAATTAGAATCTCATCAATTAAATTCCCTGGTAGGTTGCTAAGTATATCCAGAGATACACGTTGACTACTACGCTTTTTGTCCTTAGGAGACGTCATAAAAAAGTAAACACCAATAAAAACCTGCAGAAAATAAACAACAATACCATCAGGATTCACATTGTAAAATCGACATGCTACAACTGAAAGAGGAGAAGACAGTTTGCTTTCTAATTGAAAACTCTAATATGTCTCCTCTTAACACCTATGAACTATTTGTATAAATTATTCAAAAGGGAAAACCAAAAGAGCAAAAACAAGAAACACATGTTCTTTCGCGGGTAATAAGCTCTATAAACTGCTGAACATCTACAACAAGAAGATTTTAAAAGAAATACTCCAATCTAATTTTTGGCACCTTTCAAACACAAAAATCAGCTTACTAGATGCTTCACAGCTTTGGCTAGATTAGGCATCAAACAAATCTAGAAAACGCATGCACATACCCAACATCTAAAACAATATTTAAAGAAAGACGATGAACCCTTTTACATAGACTAACATTAATCGAAAAGGGAAAAGAGATGATTAAAAAGAAAACATGGAAGCACTTGAAGCATACCCAGAAGCCAGAATTGTGATTGTTGATTTTGATTGGTGGAGTTCCAGAGAAGATGTTTGTAGGAGGTTTGCACACATTTCTGGAGATGTTGTTGAAGAATGTAAAAAGTTGATGCAAAGGGGCTCGGTAGAGGAGTACCTAGAGAAGTATGAAGAACTGAGATCCCAGATGTTGATCCAGAATCCTTTCCTCAGTGATGCCCGTTTCATATTATGTCAAGGTGTTTAGACCAGCAAGTCTACAGCAAGAAATTGAGCAAGCTACGTGCAGGAGAGAGCTATAGAAGCTACCGTGAAGAGATCTACGTTCACATCTACACCAACACGCATGGCAGGAGCTCATACAGTCTAAGAATGGTAAGGTGCTTCAGCCAATCCTAAGGTGATTCATTTCAAGGTAACACTTCTTCTCAAGAAGCTCATGCTTATAAAAGGGCCATTACTTGTGTTATAATTGTGAAAATACCTATATTTTAGAGCACCAGTGCACAAATAAGCAGCTGAATTACTTAACAGAAAGTAAGACCTTTAATTTTCGGCCCATTGGTATAGGGATAGGACGAAGAGAGATTTTCGTCGTTTGTGGATCACTCGGATAAACGCAGTAAGTCTGTATTACAACTGAGAACGAACAGCAGGAAGGAGATGTGAAAACTTATGAGATTGAGGAGGAACAAGGGGATCAGAGTCAGGAGGAACTGCCTTCAAGTGAGGCCATATATATATATGTCCTCAAGAAGGTGATAAGCAGCAAATCTACTTGTTCATGATCAGTTAACGTAGCTGGATTTCTGAAAGTTTATGCGAATACCTTTTGAGAACCAAAAAACTCTCACTTCCATGATTGTATAATCGCAAAATTTCTTTTTAGAACTACGAGTTGGACCTGCTAGCTTGAGACCATACACTACAACCACTTTCAGAAGGAAGAGATATGCTTCAGAATGGCATTACACAGCATAGTCATTAATCTTTTTCTTGAATAGCACTACTAGTTTGGGAAAAAGAATGGAATATGAAGATTCTGTGTGGATTATAAAGTCCTTAAGGAGATTAATATGAAAGACAAGTACCCCATTCCCTTAGTTGATGACCTGCTAGATGAGCTACATGGTTTTACAATCTATTCCAAGGTTGATTTGAGAGTTGGATATCACCATATCAGGATGAGACCTGAAGACATCCAAAAAGAGCTTTTGGCACTAATGCTGGACAATATGAACTTAAGGTCGTGCTTTTTAGCTTGACCAATGCGTCACCTACATTTCAAGCGATGAAACATATCTTGCCGTCCTTCCTAACGAGATTTCAGTGGCTTAGAATGAATTCATTGTTAGCAAAGACGTCTAACTTTCTCCTTTGGTCATCAAGTGGAGTACTTGGGGCACATTATCACTGCTGAAGGAGTATTTATTGATCCTAACAAGATTCAAGCAACGTTAGATTGGCCAGTCCTACGTAAATAAAAGCTCTAAGAAGATTCAAAGCTGTTACATACCGCATTTCGTACGTTAAAGTTTCGTCATAAGTTAATTGACGTAGACTCGGGAATGAGATTATTTTGAGGTTATAAGGATTTATGCTATTTATAACAAGCAATAAGTAAGTGCCGTGAAGGTTAAAGGGTAAACGAATCAAAGAAAGTGAGTTTCGTCGAAGTTTGTCAATATGGGATAGAATACGGTCCGAGCTATAATACCCGGTATTTATGGACTAGTGACATACAAGGTACCCCATAACCACGATAAGTAGGGTACATAAAGTATTTTAAAAGTGAGTAGTATTTTAAGTAATTTGAGATAATTCTTAATTATGTGGATAATTTGTTAATGGGGGAGTTAACAAGTTAATTAAGGATTAGTGGGTGATTAATTATGGCTTTGGATAAGCCTTAACGTGGCAGCCCACCATTCCAAAAATTGTGACTCTTGAATCATGATTGAAAGGTGGCATATTTAGGTAGATTATGTGGCTTAGTCATCCACTAAGTGGGCCACACCCACTAAAGGCTTCCTACAATTAGGAAGATGTTACATGCCATCTTACTACAATTAGTTTGCTTCACGTTTTCTTCCATATGAATTCATGTGTGCCTTAAAATCCAATTGAATCTCTTATGTAAAGAGAGTGGGCTGATCGTGAGTAAGTAAGAAAGCAAAACAATTCCATACCAAATATAGATAACGTTGGTTGTTGATTCTATAAAGCGTGAATTTCAAATTCTAAGAGAATCGGTTTAGGTATGTTAAGGCTAATCCTTCTTTCTTTGGCATGATCCAAACAACGATACGTAAACGTAATGTTATTTCATAAATGGTTCTACTCTTAGTAACTAAGAAGGTCTACATTATTCATTCTTGTAAAATGATATTCAAGCATGTCTAAGTATGTATCTAGTTCCATATTGAGGTATTTGATAAAGATGTTAATGTTCATAATGGTATTATATGCATCATTTACCACCGAGCTACGGCCGATTGGGCAGTTACACATTTACCACCGGGCTACGGCAGGTCGGGCGATCATGCATTTACCATCGAGCTACGGCCGGTTGGGCAGTTACACAATTACCACTGAGCTACCGTTGGTCGGGCAGTCATGCATTTACCACCGCGCTACGGCCGGTCGGGCAGTTACCACTGATCAGTTGGGCAGTTAACGTCACAAGAATGATGTAATCAGAACTATTATATTGTAGTTTTATTTATATATACGAGATGGGTCTTGTTTTATATGTTATGGCCCTCAGCGGCAAGTCAGAGGTTATAAGTTGACTCTTATCCCTCCCTAAGATAGTATCTTACTATTACGTTTCATTTCTACCTTACATACTCAGTACATTCTTCGTACTGACGTCCCTTTTCCTGGGGCGCTGTGTCTCATGCCACGCGGGTGTAGATAGAGGCGAGGTGAGGACCATCCACTGTAGGCTGCCTCCAGATATTAGCTTTTGGTTGGTGAGCTCCACTTCTTTCTGGAGTATTGCCGGGTCACCTTCTATATATGTTATTTTGCTTTATGAGGATGTATGGTTATGTTTTCTTAGAGGTTTTACAGACAGTGTCCTGTGTATAGTTTTAGGTATGACATGCCAACGGCCTTGTTGGCCCCTATGCATCTATATAAATCTTTTTGAATTAGTTATGTGAGTTAAGTTCTAATATTGTTAATTATATATATAGATGTAGCCTATCATGGCCCATGACGAGTCTTATAGTAAAGAAGGATAAGGTACGTAGCGCTCGGTTGAGTAGGCACCGGGTGCTAGTCGTGGCCCTACGATTTCGATCGTGACAAAAGCTATCGCTTCATGGCTTCAACCTCGGTATTAGCCTTGCCTGATTATAACCAAGAATCCAGAGTAGAACCAGATGCTTGTAAGTCTGGCATCGGTCCTGATGCAAAACAATAGGCCTATAGACTTCCTTAGCAAAGCACCGACACCAACATTGGAATGGATCTTTATCTGCAAAAGAGTTCCTGGTACTATACGTGCAGTGGATGAGTGGAGGTATACTGAAAATTATGGGGAATTATTTTATGAAACTATTCAAGAGCTTCCCAAAAAGTACAAGGGTGTATTTGGTATGGGGAAAATATTTTCTAGAAAATGTTTTTCAATTTTTTAATATTTAATTGGCTTAAAGGTTTATTTTCTTTAAGAACACATTTTTTTTTCTAACTAGGAAACTCCCTCAAGTCATGCCCCCTCGCCCCCATTCTCCACCCACACCTCCCCCACCCCCAACCCTTCCACACCATCACCACCCACCTGCCCCCGCCCCCAAAAGTTAGTTAATTTGTCACGTTATATTTTTTAGAAAATAAAGTTACTTTCCTCCCATTTTTTTCTACATTCAGTAAGTACAAATTAAGTGCTTAAGATATGAGAATAAAACTTTTACAAACTTTTTCATAATTAATCTTACCAATTGAGAAAAGCAAGTTTTCCTGCACCACTAAAGAGCACATGCAACTACATAATTCCAAATAAATTGTAATTTTAAAGCATAGCTTTCTGAAGGAAAATAAAAAAAAAAAAAAAAAAAAGACGACTTACAAGTGGCGGACGTGATCGGCAGCCTAGCGGCGACGGCAACGGTGACAGTAAAACGGAGGAACGAGAGTTACAGCTTACCTTTTTGGGTCAAAAAAGGGGAAAATAGTGGGCGAAATGTAACTGTTAGCGGATATATTAAGAAGATTTTCCGAAAGGCTCAAATAAATTGTTATTACAATCCTTTCAAACACTTATTTTAAATTATTAATTATTGCACTAATAGTACTTGTTATTAAATTTTAAATATATAAATTTACTTAAAGAATTAAAAGATCAAATTCTCGGTAAACATTAAGTGTTACAACCCTCATACTAATCATGCCACATAAAGGAATACAAAGGGATTTTTTCTATTATACTACTAATATTGTCTTTGAAATCTCCGAATTTACTCTTTCTAAGACAAAACTACTAGTAGTATCTCTTTATTTTTCATCAATTGTAGATTTTCATGTACAAATACCTTTTAATTTTATTCCTTTTATACAACTATTAAAGATTTTTGAAAATACTATTATTTTATTCATTTTAGTATTTATTATTCACGTAACTGTTTATTTATTAATTAATTTTAGCACCTATATTTCATAGTTATCAACGGCTTTTAATCAACTAACCCAAAACATGCTCATGTTATTGTTGTTATTGTTGGGTCGACTTCGCGATTTTTTCGATGTCTATATAATTGAAAAAGTTAAAATCAGAAAGAGGTTAAACTTTTTATAATGCTTTTCTTGTTACTTTCTTTTTCTTGGATTTTATTACTCAGTTCTTCACTCCCACATTATAAGAGCGCAAGTGTTAAACCTCTTTAATATTTCTAGTTAGAAACCTCCAAAATTTAAAAAAGGGTATTAGTATATACATTAATATATATATATATATATATATATATATATATATATATATATATATATATATATATATATATATATATTTTATACCAAAAATATGCAACGAAAGAAATTTTCCATGACTTGAGCACTTGGTCCATTTGGTGATCAAGCTGAAAGGCAGAGGCGGATGCAGTGTAGAAGCTATAGGTTTAACTGAATCTAGAGTTTTCTTTCATTCTATATTTTTTGTCTAAAAAATTATTAAATAAATACAAATAATAAAATTTGAACCCATTAAATTAGATGAGATACATATATTCACGGATATTCACGGTATTCATCAAACCGGTATTCACGGGATTTCTTTCTTGCAATGTGTTTTAGTTCTTTGCAGAATTCTTCATCAAAAACTAACTCCGGAATATATAAGTAGCAAAATCTCCACTTCTTTGATAGAACACTCGTTCTTATAGCATCACGTATAGGCATTTTCCCTAGAATACAGTATATTACATCAGTTGGCAAGTTGCTGATTATATCTTCTCGGCTTCTGCCTCTTTTAATACATGTTGGAGACATATCTTCCTGAAAATGAAAAAGCCAAGTAGCCAATGATATCAATTCATATTTTTTTGGGCTTTTGAGAAAAAATTAAATCAACAATAACAACTCAGTGAAATCCCACAAGTGGAGTCTTGGATGGTAAAGTAGAGTCTTGGAGGGTAGTATGTACGCAAACGTTACCCCTACTAGGTTGTTTTCGACAGACCCTCAGCTCAAGATTGAGAAAAAAATTAATAAAAAGAATTAAATACAATATATAATTTCCAACACAAAGGATGACTATAGGTCTTTTACATGCATTCGGTTGCTAGACTTAAAACTACCTTCAGATATATATATATTGAGTCCTTAGGGGGAAGTCGATACTTTTTGCTTTTTTTTTATGATTATAGTCGTATGAGTTGGATATATTTCTTGAAATTTAAATCTGAAACTTTTGAGAATTTCAAGAAATTTAAATCTTTTGTTGAGAAGCAAAGTGGATGTAGAATCAAAACTCTTCGGACAGATAGAGGTGGTGAGTTTATGTCAAATGAATTCAGTTCCTTCTGTGAGGAAAATGGAATACATAGAGAGCTCACAGCACCTTATACACTAGAGCAAAATGGTGTAGCCGAACGTAAGAATCGCACAATTGTCGAGATGGGCAGAAGCATGATGCAAGCTAGAGGTGTTTCAAAGTCTTTTTGGGCTGAAGCCGTTGCCACTGCTGTCTATGTGCTGAATATTTTACCCACCAAGGCAGTTCTTAATCGAACACCATATGAAGCATGGAAAGGTAACAAGCCCAAGGTAAGCCACTTACGTGTCTTTGGATGTGTAGCTTATGCTTTGGTGAATTCACAGGCTCGATGCAAGCTTGATGAAAAATCTGAAAAATGTGTCTTTGTTAGTTATAGCACACAATCTAAAGCTTATAAGCTATATAATCCAGTGAGTGGAAAAATTATAGTCAGTAGAAATGTTGTGTTTAATGAAGATGCAAGCTGGAACTTTAATTCTGGAAATGAAAATTCAAATATTCAATTGTTGCCTACTAATGATGTTGTTGATCAAGAGCATGTAGCAGATCCTTCTTCACCAGATCCATCAATTGTCTCATCAATAGAACCATCAACTTCTCCAACATTGAAAGAACCTTCAGCTAAGCCAATTCCATTAAGAAGATCAACAAGGGATAGAAAACCAAATTCCAAGTATGCTGACAGTACATCATGTACTTTCGCTTTGCTTGTTTCAGATCCTATTTGCTTTGAAGATGCTGAAAAAGAGGGTAAATGGTGCAAAGCTATGGAAGAGGAGCTATTAGCTATTCAAAAAAATCAGACTTGGGACTTCGTTAATTTGCCAGAAGGAAAGAAAGCTATTGGGCTCAAATTGGTGTTTAGAACCAAGTATCATGCAGATGGAAGCATTCAAAAACACAAGTCAAGGCTTGTCGCAAAGGGCTATTCCCAACAACAAGGTATCGACTTTGATGAAACATTTTCTCCTGTTGCCCGCTTTGAAATTGTTAGAACTTTCTTAGCTTTAGCTGCAACATTAAATTGGCCAGTGTACCAATTTGATGTTAAATCTGCCTTTTTAAACGGTGATTTGGAAGAAGAAGTTTATGTCTCACAACCTGAAGGGTTTGTAGTTAACGGCAAAGAAGATAAGGTTTACAGGTTAAAAAAGGCACTTTATGGCTTAAAGCAAGCGCCACGGGCATGGTACTTCAATATTGATTCTTATTTTCAGAAGAGTGGTTTCGAAAGGAGTAACAATGTGCCTACTCTTTATATCAAACGAGAAGGTAAAAATGATTTTTTGGCGGTATGTCTTTACGTTGATGATATAATATATATGGATTCACGTGAGTCTATTGTGGCTGAATTTAAAGATTGCATGATGAAGAATTTTGAGATGTCTGATTTAGGTCTACTGCATTATTTTCTTGATCTTGAGGTGAAACAAGAAATTGATGGCATATTTCTTTCACAAAGAAAATATGCAACAGATCTTTTGAAAAGGTTTAATATGGTGAATTGTAAAGTTGCCGTTGCGCCAATGAATATTAATGAGAAGTTGTGTCTTGATGATGGTACTGAAATGGCAAATGCAACTTATTTTAGAAGTCTTGTTGGTGGTTTAAATTATTTGTCTCATACGAGGCCAGATGTTGCTTTCTCTGTTGGAGTAGTGTCAAGATTTATGCATAGTCCAAGCAAACTTCACCTTGGAGCTGCAAAGAGAATACTGAGATATATCGCAGGGACAATAGATCATGGAATTTGGTATTCTAAGGTAACAAATTTCACATTAACTGGCTTTACTGATAGCGATTGGGCAGGTAACATTGATGATAGAAAGAGCACATCTGGTTTCTTGTTTAATCTCGGATCTGGAGCAATTTCATGGAGTTCAAAGAAGCAGGAAGTTGTGGCATTATCAACTTCAGAGGCTGAATATATTGCAGCAACTTCGGCAGCTTGTCAAGCAGTATGGTTAAGGAGACTTGTTGCAGATTTCAATCAAAAACAAGCTGATGGAACTGAAATATTCTGTGACAACAGATCTGCTATTGCGATGTCGAAAAAGCCAACATTTCATAGCAGAACAAAGCACATCGATATTCGCTATCACTATATTCGGAGTCTTGTTTCTACTGGAGAAATTACTTTGAAGACTTGTGGTACGAATGAGCAAGCGGCAGACATCTTCACAAAGTCACTTCCGCAAGCAAAGCACGAGTTCTTCAGAGGTCAACTTGGAGTTTGCACTTTTGAATCAAGGGAGAGTGTTGAGAAGTGATTCAAAAATGTTTGACCAAGTCTTTAGGAGTTTGTTAGTTGGTTTCCTTTATTTAAGCAAGTTTAAATATTGATTAGCTTTAGTAGGTAAGTGGATTAGTGGAGCTAGATTTTAGTATTTTCAGTTTCTTTGTAAGCCTATTTATAGGCAGTTCTTTTACACTTCGTATTATCAGAAATATAAGAATTACAGTAGCTTTTCATCTCTTTTTGCTCTATTTTTTTGTTTACTTTCTCCTTATAATTCTTTTCTTATCCAACAGAATATAGTGATTATGTTGATCATGGTCTTTCATGGCATGTATTATTTTTTTCCTTTTTTTTTTTTTACTCCAAAGGAAAAAGTGGAATTGATTGCATTGATGTGTTTGATTTTCATTCTTAGGAAAATATGCCTTCAAAACGTATCAAAAGAAATCAACCACACAAACGTCAAGAATCAATTGATGATGAGGATATAATCAGTGACTTGCCGAGGAATGTAATAGATTGCATTCTAGGAAAAATGCCTTTACGTGATGCTATAAGAACGAGCGTTCTTTCAAAGAAGTGGAGATTAAACTACTTAACCATTCCGCAATTAGTGTTTGATGATCAATTCTGCAAAGAACTGATTGACTTCGCCAAGAAGAAGAAAACTCGGAAATTTTTCAACTATCAATTCAACGAGATTGTCACCAATTCTCTTATGCTTCATCCTGGCCAAATAGAGAGATTTAAAGTATGCATTCCTAAGTTCAGTATATTAGGGTATCCTAATGTGAACAAATGGATGTTATATTTATCTACGAAGAATATCAAGAAATTAACCTTAGAATACAAGAAGAATTCTGTACGTCATAAGTTACCTCCTCATTTCTTTTCTTGTCTGGACTTGACATACTTGAAGCTCCGTAATTTTGATTTTGCGCCTCCACCAGAGTTGAAGGGCTTCTTATATCTTGAAAAATTAGTTTTTTTCGGGGTTCACCTTGCAAACAACTGTTTTGAAAGTTTTCTCTCCAGCTGCCCTGTTCTTCAAAAACTACATTTGCGTGGGTGTTCCGGTGTTTGTCATTTTAATATCATTGGCTCTAAACTCAAGATATTGTGCATCAAGGCCGATGATAAGTTCGAATCAATCTCCTTAGAAAACGCTCCTAACTTGACTAAAGTTACTGTTGCACTGGAGAAAGCTGTAATAGGATGTCTAATTTGGTTAAGTTTGGGGATTGTTTGGCTAAAGTCAAACTACTTCGTCTAAATGGAAAGTTTCTGCAGGTTAGTGTACTACTACTGAAATTACTTATAAGTGTCAATTTTCCTGCTCAAATCAAGTTTATCTTTACCTAATCTGATTGAAATATGTCTTTCACATATCGTTCTTTCAGTTCCTAGCTGAAACTCAAGTTCTGCAAATGCTATCAACGTCGCTAGACTCTTTAAAGATTATCGAACTCAAAGCTGTAAACTTTATGGACTTTGATCAGATATCTGTTGTCTGTTTGATTAGAAGTGCTCCGAATTTGCAAGAACTTTATATTGAGGTAAGTTGTAACACTCCATCTAATTTATGATAATTTGTTATAGCTTAACTGGTAAATAGGGGTGTTCATGGTTCGGTTTGGATCGGTTTTTCCCTAAAAAGAAACCAAACCAAGTAAGTCGGCTTTTAAATATTAGAACCAAACCAAATCAATTAAGTTGGTTTTTTCTCGATTCGATTTATGCCGGTTTTTCGGTTTTTTCGGTTATTTGTCGGTTTTTTCTTAAATATAAGACATACACTACCAAACACACATTTCGGCGACCACATTTTACACGTAACACTATCAAATCAATTGCCCTTTGAGAAATATATTATTTACCAAGATATATTGATGATAATTGAATCAAATAGTGATGAATAATTTAATGGCTCAATTAAAAATATATTATTTTTAGCATGAAATAGATACTTACACTTAACAAAAGAAAATTACCAATTAAACTGGAATGTAAAGGTAAAGAAATGTACTATAAGTGCAAACGATTAATATTTACTATACAGATTTAAACTTTGTATAAAAGTATACATATATATAGGTGTAACTAGTATTAGAGTATGCGCTTTGCGCGTGTACCTATATCAATTATATAATTTTTAAAATTACGTAAATATTATTAAATTATGTGTTTGAGTTATTGAATACATATTTAAAAAATATAAGTTCCTACAAATAATGAATCTTAATCTCACCTAAGCTAGCTCAATAAAACAAAGAAATCATACTTCATGTAAGTCTTTCTATGCCTTATCATGATTTATGAGGAGTGAAATATCTTATGAAAACAATTGTTATCTTTGTTATCGAAGACTATAAACAATTAACATAAAAAATACTTTTTGCCATAAATATTCAAAGATAATAAAATAAAATGAAAATTTGAATCTTTTGATCTTTTATAAATTTTAGATTGATGGGGTAGAACTATAGTTCCTAGAAAAATATTGAGAAATAACAATTTAAAGTCTTAAATGACTAATATTGAATTATAAGAAATAATATAATACTATATTAAAAATATAAGAAGCTATCATTTATTTGAATGAATATAAAAAGAAAAAATAATAATGACAATGTCTTTTGTACCTTTTGTCTTATGTTACATCCGTAATTCTTTAACTTAGCATTTTTAGCTATTTAACTTTTAATACTATATTAAAATAAATTTTGCTCTATTTTTCTATTTCTTTCATGGCTGATGTTCTTCTTGTGAAAATAAATTTATGTACCTTAAGAGTTTTATCAACTTATAAATAATTTTACATACATAGTGATTTTGAAAAAAAATGAATTAACTATTTCTCTAATTTATTAATTCAAAGGCTTAATAATTTGTTGAGATTTCATGCTTTTTAGCATAGAAGATACAAATTATTTTTGAACTTTTTTCCTACTCGATCAATATATTATTCTCTTTATTAATATTTGGAATATTTAAAACTACATTTAGTAATTAAAATATATATTTAGTTCGTACATGATCTCTTACTTTTAATATTACATATTATTAGAATTATAAGTTCCCCAATAAGAAGAAGGAATGTGAAACATATTTCCATTGAAATTGCCGCCGGATATACAAGGAAAAGAAACCTAATATTACTCCTATTTCCCCAAATAACATCTACTTTAAACTCCTTAATATTAGGACTTCTTACATAATTCTAATAAGGATAATTATAATTAAAATTTTAATTAATTTTAAAATCCTAAATATTAGGATAATAACTAAATTGCAATTTTGTCTAATTTAAAGTTTATTTTAAAGGGTAAAAGAGGGAACGATATTTCGATAAAGGCCTTCGTGCTTTTAATATAGTATAGATATAGATATAGATAGATAGATACATTTTCCTACTATTTAAAAGCGAGAATAAGCAACTCTTCGTCGTCTAGGGGTATTTTAGTCTTTTCAGCATCTTCTAGACAGACTGTATGCCTACAATTTTTCTTTACGGCATATTTTATTTTAGACTATTCCGTTCACGGTCTCTTTCTCTCTCTACATACGCGGCTCTTTCTCCTCTCAGACGTGTAACATCAACATCCTCTTGCTTTTGGTGCTTTGAGTTATTTTCTTACCATGCAAACACCTGTGTTTCACAGAGACCAACAATATATTTTGGGGTTAAACATTATCTCTTCAGGTTTTCATGGGGATTAGCAATATATTTTGGGGGTTAAACATTATCTCTCCAGGTTAGATTACTTCGACGTCCTTGTTTCTGGCAAATCTGATGTTTACTTTTAAGGTTATATTGGACAGTTTATTGAAGTGTTTATGTTTGCTCAAAAGTTATTACATATCTTATGAGTATAAAACAATACGAATGAATCACGGGAAAATCATAGCAAATTGTAATAATCCGTTGGACCAAATGAAAGAAACGAAAATAAGTACTCAGGATTAGGGGGAGAAACATTAAAAGCCTTTATTGATAATATTAGTTTGGTCTGTCTCTCCATGAAGAGGTTCAGAGTCTTACAATGGTGTTTTCACTTCCCATAAGATGGGTATGTTCTTCTCTTCTCTCTCTCTCTTCTCCATAGTGGTGAAGAAGCAGTCCCCCTTTCTAGGATTCCCTCTCTGGTATTTATAGCTGTGGGCTTCGTAAGCTGGCGATAAGTGGTCGTGACCACGTGGGGATCTCGCCTTTATGGTGGCGGATAGGCCATGGCCTTGTCGATCGAACCAGATGCGGGTTGATCATCGTCAATTCTGAGTGGTCGTACCATTAATTAATTATGAATTAACTTAAAACGGGATTAGCCTCGTTAATTATCATGGGTTCGAATTCTGACCCATACAGTTTAGCAATGATAGTTGAATAAATTCTGGATTACGCTATGTTTTGCTTGGGTTTTCTGTCGATATTTGTCGCTTCGCTTCTCCACTATTCACCTTTTCGTCTCTGTGCTCGTTTNAATTATTTTTGAATTTTTTTCCTACTCGAACAATATATTAATCTCTTTATTAATATTTGTAAAATTTAAAACTACATTTAGTAATTAAAATATATATTTAGTTCGTACATGATCTCTTACTTTTAATATTACATCTTGTTAGAATTATAAGTTCCCCAATAAGAAGAATGAATGTGAAATATATTTCCATTGAAATTGCCGCCGGATATACAAGGACAAAAGAACCTACTATTACTCCTATTTCCCCAAATAATATCTACTTTAAACTCCTTAATATTAGGACTTCTTACATAATTCAAATAAGGATAATAATAATTAAAATTTTAATTAATTTTAAAATCCTAAATATTAGGATAATAACTAAATTGCAATTTTGTCTAATTTAAAGTTTATTTTTAAAGGGTAAAAGAGGCGAACAATATTCTCTAAGGGCCTTCGTGCTTTTAATATAGTATAGATATAGATATAGATGTAGATATAGTTATATATAAAAGTGTAAATACGAAAAAGAATTATGTTACGTGCTTTACGCGTGTACCTATATCGATGAGTATTAAATTTTTAATATTTTATGAATATTATTAATTAATGTAAATTTGAAATGCAATTGTCGATTGACTTTTTATAAGTTTTTCTAGAATAATTAAATTTTTCCTAATATTTATTATTTAAAATCAACTAAAGTTTTGGCACTTAAATTCTTCCTAATTTGAATTCTGTAAGAAACTCCTAATATTTAGGTATTTAAAACCAAATAATAATTTACTTGAATAAATTCTTTCCTTATTTAATTCATAATTAATAATTTATTGTTTTTGTTAGGTTTGTTACGTCTATAGTTGTTTTTGATTTGTTTAACAGAAAAAGAAAGTGTTAGTTTTAAATTATAGTTTTTAAGCTCACTATAAGTATTTTATTGGATATATAGAAATTAGAAAAATTAATAGGTCGGTATTATAGTTATGTTATGTTATTGAATAAGAAAGTGATTATATAAGGTAAAATTTTAATTTTGACTTCCTAAATTTTAGGACTTCATATTGATTTCAAAATCCTAATATTACGGAACTATCATTAATGACAACTTTGTTCAGTGTAAAATCTATTTTTAAAGGGTAAAAAAGGCGAACGACATTTTGATAAGGGTGTTCGTGCTTTTAATATAGTATAGATAATAAATTCATAATAGCTACTCCTATATTTGGTTTGGTACGGTTTTTTTAATTAAAACCAAAACCAAACCAAATTTGATCGGTTTTTATATTCAAAACCAAAAACAAACCAAACCAAAAAGTATCGGTTTTTTTGGTCGGTTTGGTTCGGATTGTTGGATTTTTATGAACACCCCTACTGGTAAAGTTATTTCCATGTGATCAATGTTGGGAATAAAAAAATAATATCCCGCCCAGGAATAATATCCACGGTGAATAACAATAACACAAGAGAGTAACAACGGCACCAAATATTTTAACGGGATAAAATACAATACCCCAGCGGAGCAATATCACCACTATAATATTACAACTTAGTAGTGTCAAGAGACTACTACAACTTCGAAAGAAATAACACTCTTTATTTTAAACACCTCACTACAATATTACTTCCATTCACTATTTATCTCACAGACTACAATATGTGGATTACTCTCAGCTTTCTGCTTCTCTCTCGATTTTTGGTGTGTTTAATAGAGAAGGAAGCATCTCTATTTATAGGCAAAGTTGCCAACCTCTCAACCAATCAAATTGATTGGTTCTTTGCAATTTGCATCGTCCACACATTATTTTGATTGCAATTTGCAACCTTTTTCCAGTCGTGCCTTGTATTTCTACACATCTCCATCAGCATTCTTCTTTATTTTGTATACCCATTTCACTCCAATTGCTCGATGACCCTTGGGAAGAGTTGTTAACTTCCAAGTGTTGTTCTTCTCTATTGACTCAATCTCCTCCTCCATGGCTTGTCTCCACTTCTTGTTTCTAACAGCTTCATCAAAGTTCATTGGTTCACTATCAGCAAAGAGATAACATAAAAAATCAAAATTAGTAACTTCTTCTGTGTCCTCATAGAACTCTTGAATACTCCTTGTCCTTTGCGGCAGTTCATTTGAACTTTCTTGAGAAGAGGGAGATGCAACATTGGTTGGAGAAGGAGGTGGAGTTGTATCCTGCACAGGTTCCACGGTCTCTGGTTCTTCTTCATCACCAAAATATGGAAGAAAATCATATGAAGTTTCTTCCTGAGCTTCCCAATCTCATGCCAATTCTTCATCAAATTCAACATCGCGACTTACCACCACCTTACCGCTGCTTGGGTTGTATAACTTGTAGCCTTTTGAACTCGTATCATAGCCAACAAACACATGCTTGACATTTCGATCGTCAAGCTTCGCTCTCCCTTGCTCTGGCACGTGAGCATATGCTATGCTCCCAAAGATTCTCAAGTGTTTGACACTTGGCTTTCTTCCACTCCATGCTTCTTGAGGGGTTTAATCTCTAACATTCCTTGTTGGAGACCTGTTGTTCAAATAAACTGCACAAGAAACAGCTTCGGCCCAAAATTCCTTGGGCATACTTTTAGCTTTCAACATACATCGAGCCATATTAAGAATCGTTCGATTCTTTCTCTCTGCAACTCCATTTTGTTTGGGTGAATAAGGTACCGTTAGAGGGCGACGAATTCCATGAGACTGACAAAAGTCATTAAATTCGTTTGAAGTGAATTCGCCTCCTCTATCGGACCTTAGAGCTTTAATTTCATAGCCATTTTCTTTCTCCACAAGTACTTTGAAATTTTTAAAAGCAGCAAAAGCTTCAGATTTTTGGTTCAAGAAATAAACCCAAGTCTTTCTACTAAAATCATCAATGAAAAGCAGAAAGTATCTACTTTTACCAAAAGAAGGTGGATTGATTGGTCCACACACATCAGTGTGAACAAGATGGAGCGGCTTGGTTGATCTTGACATGGTCTCCTTTGGAAAACTCCTCCTTGCATGTTTTCCAAGAAGACAAGCTTCACACAATTGATTGGGATGGTTGATTGATGGTATCCCATGTACCATGTTCGTTTCTCCCATTGTTTTGAGCGCTTCAAAATTCAAGTGCCCAAATCGCATGTGCCAACACCATGATTCATCTTGCACATTAGCCTTCAAACACTTTGCATCAATTGTTTTAAGATTTAGAGAAAATAATCTATTCTTTGCCATATGCACTTTAGCAATTAGAATTCCACTTGAATCTCTAAGCCAAAGATGCATATTTTTCATGTGGATGTCATATTCCTTTTCAAGAAGTTGGCCCAAACTCAAAATATTACTTTTTAATTTTGGCACATAATAAACATCTTGAATTAGCTTGTGACTACCATCTTTACAAGAGATTGAAATCGTACCTATCCCTTCGATTTGAATCTTTGAGGTATCTCCAAAGGACACATTACCTCTCACCATTTTATTGATCTCCACAAACTTTTCTTTGCATCCACACATATGATTGCTTGCTCCATTGTCCAAATACCACGAGCTGCAATCATCCCTGTCTTCTTCCTTGAGTGCCAGCAATAACGTTGACTCATCTTCTTCTTACTTGTCGTCAACAAGGTTAGCTTTCTCTTCAACATTTCTACGACATTCCCAAGAGTAATGGCCAAATTTATGACAATTATAACACTCAATTTTTGATTTGTCATACCTTTGTCCATTATTTTCTTGGTAGTAGCCACGTCCTCTTCCTCCTCTTTGTCCATGACCACGACCTCTAAATGCTTGGTGGATTTTAACTTCATTGTTGAAGTTGTTCCCATTACTTCTTCCTCGTCCATGACCGCCACGGCCTCGTCCTCGTCCATTCCCTTGATGGCTTTTTTCACCTCCATAATTCTTGAAGGATGCCTGAGTTTTAAGAAGTTCCTCCAATGGCACTTCTTGTCTCCTCTTGATCTTTTCTTCATAGGACTGTAAAGAACCCTCCAATTGCTCCACCATCATTGAGTCTAAATCTTTAGACTCTTCAATAACACACACCACAAAATCGAATTTAAGTGTTAAAGTGCGAAGGATCTTTTCTACCACACGGACATCTTTTATGTCCTCCCCGTATCTTCTTAATTGATTCACAACAGCCTTTACTTTTGAACAATAATCCGAAATGCATTCGGATTCTTTCATTTTTAAAACTTCAAAATCAGCCCTTAGAGTTTGAAGTTTTACCTTCCTCACCTTGTCAACTCCTTGAAGAGAATTTTGTAAAATCTCCCAAGCTTCCTTTGAGGTGGTAGCATCGGCCACCTTCTCAAACATGGCATCATCCAAACATTGGTGGATGAGCGTGAGGGCTTGTTGATCCTTCTTCCTTGTCTTTGCCAAGACATCTTTTTCATTTTGAGGCAGAGCTTCCTCATTATCGGGTTTTGCATACCCTCTATCTACGATTTCCCACACATCTTGGGAGCCTAGAATGGCTTTCATACGTAGACACCATTTCTCATAATTATCTTTTGTGAGACGGGGATACTGAAAAGACAGTGGACTATTATTCGCCATGGCTCTGATACCACGTTGTTGGGAATAAAAAAAATAATATCCCGCCCAGGAATAATATCCACGGTAAATAACAATAACACAAGAGAGTAACAACGACACCAAATATTTTAACGGGATAAAATACAATACCCCAGCGGAGCAATATCACCACTATAATATTACAACTTAGTAGTATCAAGAGACTACTACAAATTCGAAAGAAATAACACTCTTTATTTTAAACACCTCACTACAATATTACTTTCACTCACTATTTATCTCACAGACTACAATCTGTGGATTACTCTCAGCTTTCTGCTTCTCTCTCGATTTTTGGTGTGTTTAACAGAGAAGGAAGCATCTCTATTTATAAGCAAAGTTGCGAACCTTTCAACCAATCAAATTGATTGGTTCTTTGCAATTTGCATCGTCCACACATTATTTTGATTGCAATTTGCAACCTTTTTCCAGCCGCCCTCATTGTAAACAAGTTGCCATTGCAACTTGTTATTTTCTATTTTTTTTTTTTAATTTGGGACTGGTCCCACAACCAAGGAGGTCACGGGTTCGAGCCCTGGAAATAGTCTCTTGCAGAAATGCAGGGTAAAGCTGCGTACAATAGACCCTTATGGTCCGACTCTTCCCCGGATCCCGCGCATAGTTGGAGCTTATATAGTGCACCAGACTGCCCTTTTTGTTATCGAAACGACTAAGCACTTACTATTTGATTTTTGCTCTATTTTAATGTAGGCTTCTACAGTGACACTAAACCAAGAGCAAGTCTCAGGTTATCTAAAACTCATGGACTGCACAACTTTTCCCCTCAGCAAACTTCATCTGGTCAAATTAACGAAAATCTCAGGTTTCGATCCTGAGTTTGAGTTTATTCGGTTCCTTCTCTTTAGTTCGCCATCACTTGTGACAATGAGCGTCATGGAGCACCCGGAACTTGAAGCTGTAGAAGCATTGGATATAGCTAGGAAGCTGCTCCAGCTTCGACCACCAACAGCAGTGCATATAAATTTCTTGAAGGAAAGTTAGATATTGTAATGTTATTTTAAGGAACTGGAATTGGTGAGAGGATCAGTATAACTTCGATTTATGTTTTAGTCTCTGCTCATATATAGATTCATAATTTTTTCTACGTATATTACAGAATGCAAGTGAGGTGCTTTTTGCCCAATCGCTACATAAACACATTACGTTACCTTGTTGATTGAGAATACTATTGTATTTCTATCACAGCACAAAATTCCGCATATTAGATGGGGTACAAGTGGACCTGTAAACTTTGCCAGAAATTCTATATATGTATATGTATATAGCATGAAAAAGGTTAACTTAAATTACTTGGCACCCTGAATGCTTGAAGCCTTCGGAGGCACTGGTTGAGCAGAATATTGTGCCCCTTTCGCATTAAGATCATGGGTCCGCCTTTGAGTACATGTGCTATATACAGTATGATACAATTGTATTTCAAAAGGTTCTGTCTCAATTTCAAAACTAAACGCTGAATATGGCCAAATTAGGTCTGATCTTAGCTTATTAATCCATATCAGAAACTAACTTTTTGCTAATGATGCATTAAATGTGGCATTTCAGGCTACTTAAGAGCGCCAAAGGCTGCAGTTACAACTTATAAAATATCAAGAAAGGGTCATTCTAATTCGTTCTAATATAGAGATTAGAGATAAGTCAATATGGTCGAATTTGATAAAAATGCATTTATAGCATCAAAAACAATGAAGACGACGACAACAACAACAACAATGACCCAGTAAAATCTCACTAGTGGGATTTAGGCTAGGGAGAGTAGTATGTACGCAAACCTTACCCCTACTCCGAGGGAGTAGAGAGTTTGTTTCGGAAAGACCCTCGACTCAAGAAGACGACAAGAGACAATATATCAGAACCATCAACAAAAACCAAAGGAATAATAACATCATAAAAGCCAGAAAATAGATGAAAATTATAGCAATAACCAGTAAATAGCATCAAAGACAAGTAAATAAAACGCAAGTTATTTTTAAGGCACTGTAAATTAAGGAAGTGAATGAGAGCTTTGCAACAACCGTAAAGTTGTATCGGTATGATCTATAGGTGATAGGTTCGAGCCATAGAAGTAACCACTAATGCTTGCAATATGATAGACTATCTACATCACACTTCTTAGGTTGCATCCCTTCTCTGGACTCTGCGTGAATGCTGAATACTTTGTGCATCTGACCCAAACTTCTATTTGCAGCTACTACAATTAACAGACACTTAACTGAGGATAAAAATTATTGTGTTCAATTTTCTAGTTAACAATGGACAATCTACTCCTCTACACCAGACGTTCTGTACTGTACTGTACTATCAATCTTGTGATCATCTCCGGACTTCTATGCTTCTGTCAGGAAGATCGCAAATTTCTTTCTTGTCACAGGTAATAGACACAACCAGCCGGAGCAGAGCTAGAACATGACTTACGGGTTTGGCCGAACCCAATATCTTTTGTCCAAAACCAGGTATTTGTCTCAAGAAAATCATCGAATATGTGCAATTTATTAATTTAAAACCTAGTAACTTAAACAGATTAGATTCCCGAACTCATAAACTTTAAATCCGAGCTCCGATTCTGCAACCAACTATGATCAAGAAAAGTCTTTTTTGTTAATGTAAAATGTAGTTAATAACATATATGCTGCTTCCACTGATCAAGTAAGGAATAAAAAAACTACAAAACACAACATTACTTAAAATTAACAACCGAAGTATAATTCAACTGATTATTCAAGAACATGCATGAAATGTAAAATCCATACTATTGTAATGACTTTTGTCATTACATATGAAACTGATTAGTAAAAACATCCACTGCAAGCAAAACGCAGCCTTGTATTACTTCGTCGATATTTGTTTCTATCTATTCACCTTTAACATCCAAAAACATTTTACCCAAAGATCATGGTCTGATTACAGAATAGTGGCGAATATAGAACAAAGTATTAGGTTCGTATGAACCCAGTGTTTTCGACAAAGATTACAAAAATCACTAAAAATTTACACAAATAGTATTAGACTCTGAATCCATAATTTCAAGAAGTGTAATGCGTTCAGTTGTAAGAACCTAAAGCTTGAACCAATCAAATTAAAATTCTGGAATAGCCTTTGCTACAGACTCATGAAGATCAATCAAACAAGACTATGTTATGGATGTTTATCGAAGTTATAGACAACTTCTGCTTTAGGTGATGCCCGTTGAAATTTTATTAGTTGTACGAGTGTTTCGAGTGTTGTACCACGAGATCCATGTAAATCTAGCCATAATGGCTCGATTAGCATTCTCACTAGCACCGGAGACTTGGCTAACAGAAGCTTGATAAGCTACATCCCAGGCTTTGACCCGATAATACCTAAGAGCTTAACTACCCTGAGATTATCAAATGTCACACCTGAGAAATATTCCACTTCAAGATATTCTAGATCAACATTTTCATCATAGTCGTCATCATCGTCTTCCTCCTCATCATCATCACACTAAAATCGGCTTAACATGAACCAAATCTCCGAATTTATTGAGGATATAAGGTATATGAAAGCGAATAAATAAGAAATAGAAAAAAGAAAGGGATAGAGAACCTGAATTTCCAAATATTGTAAATACGGGACGCTTCTTATTAGGCAAAGAGCACATGAGAGCACATCAAATTCTTACAGATAAATATTAGTTAGGTAAAGATATTTGACATAGTTAAGATCAGAGGGAAGCCTCGTTGGTACTTCACCTGCTCCTGCAGCCAAGAACTATGAAGAAAATGTCAAAAATAGGATAAATCAAAGTCCAAGTTCAGTAGAGACTTATAAAAGTCAGGAAAATTCAGTAAATTCAACACAATAATATAGACATTTACAAGTAAATTCAGTAGCACTAACCTTCAGAAACTTGTCATTAAAACGAAGTATTTTGACTTTAGGTATTCTATCCATAAACATAACCAAATCAGAGACAGGATCGCTTTCTTGGCCTTTTACAACTCTGCCCAGACTAACAGAAACTTCAGTCAAGTTATGATTATTGTCTAAGGAGATTGATTTGAACTCGGTATTGTCCTTGATGCACAACCCCTTGAGATTAGAACTAGTGATATTAAAATGACGAACACCGGAACACCTATGCAACACGAGCCTTTGAAGAATAGGTGTACAGCTGGAGAGAATACTTTCAAAACAGTTGTTTCGAAGATCAACCTTAATAAGTATCAATTGTTCGAGATTATGGAAGCCTTTGAACTCTGGCGGTGGAGAAAGAAGAAAATTTTGGAGCTTCAAGTACGTTAAGTCCAAACAAGTAAAGAATAAGAAGGTAACTTAAGGCGATCAATGTGATTGTTCTTGTCTTCTAAGGTTAGTTTCTTAATGTTCTTCCAAGATAATTTCAATATCCATTTGTTCACATCAAGATCCCTAGTCGACTTGAAACCAAGAATACATACATTAAACCTCTCTATTCGACCAGGATGAAGCAAAAGGGACTTGGTGACAACTTCATCAAATTGATGAACAAACACACGAGATTTCTTCTCTGCGAAGTCTATAAGTTCTTTGCAGAATTGGTCATCAAAAACCAACTCTTGAATGTTTAAGTAGTAAAATTTCACTTCTTTGAAAGAACACTCGTTCTTATAGCATCATGCATAGACATTTTCCCTAGAATGCAATCTATTACATCCCTTGGCAAGTTGCTGACTTTATCTTCATCATCAACTGATTTGTGGCTTCTGTACAATCTTTCTCCTTCGATACCTTCTGGAGGCATATCTTCCTAAGAATGAAAAACCAAGTAGCCAATATGCAATATATATCAATGTGTATGTATATATATATATATATATATATAGTATTGTATTGTTTTGATGAATACAACGTTTGGATAGAATGTACCATTTGTCGTCGTTTCATGATGTCATGCACATGTAAAGTGAAGAATAAACTTGCAATATCACAAAGAGAAAATAGGGTACATAGCAGCACTATTATATAAAAAGGTAGAATAAAGGATAAAATATGATTATTTAATTAAAAAAATGGTAAGATGAGTGAAGAAAATAAGGAACGACGCGGCCACACCAAATCAGTCGTTACGTAAAGTGGCCACTTTTAGTCGTTACGTAACGACGGATTTAACGATATGACACAATAAAATTTAAGTAACAATCACAACAAATATTGCATTTAAAGTAACAATACAATACAATTAACAACTGTATAAGTCTATCAAAATTGTCCTTTAAAATCGATAAAACAAAAGGATTTTATATGTTCTCATGTCCAATATCAATCTCAAAAGTCACCCCAAAACAAAGCAGAAGGAAATTTACTCAACATATATATCGATTGTCCAAGGCCTATGATAGATTGTCGTGGACCTTTCTTACTTCTATCATGAAGAAAATGGGCTTCTCTGAGTTATTTGTTAATATTATCAGCAGGCTGATCTCTAATAAATAGTATTCAGTTATTACCAATGGGACTAGATATGGTTTCTTCAACTCTTGTAGTGGGCTAAAACAAGGAGATTCTTTGTCTTCATCCTTATTTATAGCTGCTGAAGTGCTTTCTACAACTTTGAATCAGCTGAATAACAAAGCCAACTACATTGGTTCTACATAAACAGAAATTGTCCTCAAGTCAATCGCCTTTATTATGCAGATGATTTAATTTTATTTACGTCTGGCGACAAGAAGACTGTCAGCATGGTGATGAAGGTGGAAAAGGAATATCAAGATGCCTCTGGGCAGGAAGTCAATAAGGATAAGACAACTAACAGAAGGAGTATAATCAAGAGATGGACTCGTTACAAACAGGCTGAGTTCCCATTTCCCTATCTAGGCTGTCCTATTTTCACAGCAAGGAAAAAAGTGGTGTACTTCACTGATTTGGCTACTAAAGTCCTCAACATGAAAGGAGGATGGCAAGGAAAGATGTTGTCTATAGGGGGAAGAGCAGTCATCATTAAACACATTCTTCAGTCTCAATCTCTCCACCTATTGGCAGCT